ATAAACCCAGATTTCCCTCGCCGTGGTGGTAACCGCACACTGCTGCGAACTTCTTTTGTCATGGAGGTTTTTAGCCAGCCCTTAACCATAGCATTGCATTACCTTAACGCCTCAGTTTCAGCCTGCGATTGAGTTGCAGGAAGGCTTCCATCCACGAAACATAATTTATTCTTTATGATGAGTGAATCGGTAAAATCCAGTACCCACTCACCGTAATTAACATCACTAAGTAACTCGCCCACATAGAGATGAATGGGGCTGTTGGACTCGTGAAGAAGATGCGGCGGTAACGTCATCGACGAGGAGGCCACTTATTTCAATTTCGACTCCGACGCCTTGGATGACTCGTCGTCTGACATAATGAAAAAGTATGTCAGATCAGACCAGCTCTGATACTATATAAAATTCGATTAATGGAATGAAAGAGGATGAACATGACATGAGATTTACGTGTGATTTCCCCACTCGATGTGAACGGGACTACTCCATGGAGAGCTTGAGGCTCTTGGGCAGAACATCTTATTTCCACCTTATTGTTCTTAGGTTTCGGCTGCTGACTGTGTACATAAATAACCCTAACTCTCCTAAATACATGCAACGTGGAGAAAAGAAAAATTACAAAGTGATCATAAATTAATAGACATGTAATTAGAGATCACTAAACAAATATCAATAAAATTAGATAATGGAATTCTACATGCCATTGTAATCTATTAATTCCAGACGGGGACATATAGAGTAGCATATTAGGGCATTTGTGTTGTGAAAGGTACACTCCTCCCACTTGTTATACCGTGTTGATCCACAAGTTGCCATTTCAATAAAGTTCCATCCACTCTGCCATAGAACTAAAAAGTAAGCGGCTTATTTTCAGTCGTTCATTATTCTCCAACCGCTAGTTATTCCAGAGCCCTTTTAGTCTACTCTATAGCTCCCATGCTATAAAAAACAAAAAATAAAAAGATGATTAGTTGGGGAGGTAAACCCACTAAATGACTAGTCCCACATCATTAATAGCAATCTTGTAAATAATGAATCATTGTATGTAAGTGCAGGTACAAATTACAGTCGTACCATATTGTATAGGTACAAGTTTCAGTTGTATCATTGAAGAATTTGTTTTACAAAGTATAGGTACAACTAAAAATTGTACATAGCATGTAGGTACAATTTTGAGTTGTACCATAAAGGGATTTGTGAGAAAGTGTAGGTACAACTTAAAGTTGTACCATAGGTATAAGTACAATTTTTAGTTGTACCATAGAGGGATTTGTAAGAAAGTGTAGGTACAACATAAAGTTGTACCATGGTATAGGTACAAGTTTGGGTTGTACCCATAGAAGGATTTTGAGAATATGTAAGTACAACTTCAGGTTGTACCATTTGTATAGGTACAGGTTAGGGTTGTACCATAGAAGGATTTTTAGAAAGTGTAGGTACAAATTCGGGCTGTACCATAGAAGGATTTTTAGAAAGTGTAGGTACAACATAAGGTTGTACCACAAGTATAGGTACAATTTTGAGTTGTACCATAAAGGGGATTTGTTAAAACGTGTAGGTACAACTTAAAGTTGTACCACATGGATAGGTAAAATTTTTGGTTGTACCATAGAAGGATTTTTAGAAAGTGTAGGTACAACATAAGGTTGTACAACTACAATTTTGAGTTGTACCATAGAGGGATTTGTTAAAAAGTGTAGGTACGACATAAAGTTGTACCACAAGTATAGGTACAAGTTTGGGTTGTACCATAGAAGGATTTTTAGAAAGTGTAGGTACAACATAATGTTGTACCACAAGTATAGGTACAATTTTGAGTTGTACCTTAGAGGGATTTGTTAAAAAGTGTAGGTAGAAGTTAAAGTTGTACCACTAGTATAAGTACAAGTTTGGGTTGTACCATAGAAGTATTTTTAGAAAGTGTAGGTACAACTTAAAGTTGTACCATAAGTATAGGTACAATTTTGAGTTGTACCATAGAGGGATTTGTTAGAAAGTGGAGGTACAACTTTAAGTTGTACCATTCTGTATAGGTACAATTTTTAAAATTGTACCATAGAGGGATTTTTGGATAAGTGTAGGTACAACTTAAAGTACCATAACTTTAAGTTGTACCATAGTGTAAAGGTATAACTCTAGAAAGTGTAGGTACATCTTAATTCCACAACCGTTATTTTGCCAGAATGAGCTGTGAGAACGTTTGAGTGGCAGCTGTGTGTTTCAATTTCACATAAGATTTTGACGGGCGTGAGAATGTCAAGTAGAAGTCGTGAAATTTCCTGGGATAGTGAGAACTGCTCTTTGCATCTCACGAGACATTTCAAAACCGTGAGATTTGCCTAAGGAATGTCAAGTAGGAAAAGATCTAGTAATAGTACATCATATCATATGATATACCCTTTTGAAAAACAGTAAAAAGCAGTCAAAGCATTACATTTGTTTGATAAAACAAGCATCCATAACACGATTAAATCTGTATAATTAATGCTTAAGTTTAGCTGCATGTAGCCCACACCGTTGCATCATCATATTCTAATTGGAAAACATACAAGCACAAACGCAAACACACATAGCTAAGTACTAAGGACTTTGGTTGGCTCATCTTCACTGCCCCTCTTCCTTGTCTGTGCTCTCATCCTCGTCATTGTTTTCTTGTATTTGCTCAGCTTCATTGACCTCGCTAGAGTCAATGCCCTCTTCCTCATTGGTGTCTTTGTATCCTTGATTGATTTCCTTGTTTTGTTCATCGTCATTTCCCTCGTTGTCCTCTTCACTGCCCTCTTCCTCATAGGTCCCTTTGTCCTCTTGATTTTTTTCCTTGTTTTGGTCATCGTCATTTCCCTCGTCATCCTCTTCATTGCCCTCTTCCTCATTGATGCCATTGTCCTCTTTACTGCTTTCCTTGTTTTGCTCATCGTCATTTGCCATCGTCATCCTCTTCACTGCCCTCTTCCTCATTGGTCCCTTTGTCCTCTTGATTTCTTTCCTTGTTTTGGTCATCGTCATTTCCTTCATCATCCTCTTCACTGCCCTCTTCCTCGTTGGTGCCATTGTCCTCTTTACTTCTTTCCTTGTTTTGCTCATCGTCATTGCCCTCGTCATCCTCTTCACTTCCCTCTTCATTGCTTTCCTCGGTTGGCTTAGGAGATAGTTCCCAAGTTCTTGGGAATTTTTTGTAGTCAATCCTCAAGGACCTCATGATATGATGGTTGCATTTGATGATGTAGCGTCGAGCATCCTTCTCTCGGTCGAGGCGGGAGAGAATGAGTGCATTTTGTTCCAGAATTTGGGCATTCTGCCGAACCAATGCCTCCAAATGGGATAAGTATGTGTCGGTGGATGGTCCAGCTTGGGTCGTAGTTTGGTGAGGCTGTGCAGGATGTTCCGGAGTCTCCTCGGCCATTTGCTCAACAACATGCTCCGATGCGTTTGCCTCATTTGTTGCAAGAGGAGGAGCAGGATGAGGGAGGCCAACAATGCCTAGCACACCATTCTCCTTATCCTCCAAACACAAACATGTATCAGAAGCATTAGTTACATTTGGTCAATGTTCAAAAGGAACTAGACTAGTAGGCAATCCAAAACTTGCACAAAATCAATCCTAGTTTGTTAGAATCCCAACTAGTTCTATTGTAACATTCACTGTGAAAAGGAAAGTGTTGGTTGAAACAATTACCTTTGACACCAAATCTAGATCCGCAAGGTTTTTTAGGGAGATTGGTTGAGTGGACTGGGCAATGGTGCAATGAGCACCCACCGGATCGTTGCCAAAGTGGCGAGCTAGCCTTGTGATGTAGGCACCTCCATGGATGGTCTTGATTTGTTTGTTGGAGGTCATCTTCTGTAGGGTTTTCAGTATGACTAAACCAAGATGAACTGGAGGATCTTGAACCATAGAGAGGAAAAAGTTCAAATCCCGCTTGGTCACACTCCTCGGACTCCCCTCCCTAGCTGCCACAGAGTGAGCGATAATGTTGTGGATGATACGCCATGGGGGAAGAAGATCATTCCCTTTATAGTGGGCAGGGTCAGACTTTTTTCACATGGCTGCATTTCAGCGTACTCCACACATCATCGACCAATGGTGCTCTTGGTGGGTATATCTGGAGTGCCTATGTGAACTCAGTGATGGTCATCTGTCTCGCCTGTCCTCCAAGGCGAAAAGTTATGTTGTCTTTGGGCTTGTCGAGGGTAAACTCAGTTAGTAATGTGATGGAGAGAGTGCTGAGGAACTCAATGGTTAGCTCTCAGTAGATGACCTCATTGATGGAGAGAACGTCACACCATGTCGAGAAACGGAGGCATGTGCAAATGGGCTCCACTGCTCCAAGGCGCTCTAGGAGACCCCAGTCAAAGCATCTTTGCTAGCCAAATGAGAGGGGAAGGAAGCGTTCCAAAGCCCTCCTATGTTTGTCGGGTAGTTGGAAGAATTCGTGCAGTCCCCCTCCTCCAAGTTGAACCTCCGGTTGTGGTGGTGGTGGAGATGGTTGACGTGCATGTCCTTGGTTGTTTTTGCGTTGTCGTTTGGGGGGAGTGTCTTGTTGTTGGGTTTGGCGGCGACGACGATAAGTAGCCTTCACTTTGGCAGGTGAGGCTGATGGTTGTGTGGTTTTTTATTTAGCTCGAGCCATTCCTACAAAAACCAACTCAGCACATTTAGTCTTTAGTAAATGAGAGGGAAAATAATTGTGCATAATCATAAACAATTCACAAATCAAGGAATCTGGTATGCATTCTAGTTTTCAACAAAGATACTGGAAGATATAGACTTACAAACCTTAGGTATTGAGTATATGTTACACTCCATAGTAAACTAGTTCAACTCCACTTCACATATATGCATTTCATATCATATATTGCATCTGGTATTCAAAGCTAGTATTCAAATTGTACTGTAAGCATTGAAATAAACAAATGCAAGACCATGAACAAAGAACACGTATACATGCTCTGATTAGAATGGGATCCCAAACCCCTCTCAGCTCGTTCAACTTCTTCTCCTAAACTTCTCTGGTAGCGCCTTGGTTTTCACCCAACCAACCTGAAGCTGCTCTCACGGAACAGATAATCTCCACCTTTCCCCTCTTATCACCCACCTGCTGCAGCCAATCACCACTGAGAAAGGCGTTCTTGGCATCATAGATGTAACTCTCTAACTCAATCCTGGCATCCACAAATGCCCTGGCTATCTTGTCTTGCTCTGCCATCTCCTTTGCTTCTTTGATCATCCTCTTAATATGATTCTGCGTCAAATTTCCTTTGTAGCTGGTCATGGTTAGGGACGTAGATTTTGCTCCTGGGATCTTCTCCCTTGACATCTCTTTGAGTATTCCATCCTCGTCGATCTCCAAGGTATCCTCTTCTATTGTAACTCCCCTTGGAGCTGGGGTGATACCGGACAGAACAAATTTTCCAAGCTCGATACAATCCTTGGTCAGGGGTCTTTCACCCATTGCATTCCTCCCACTCAAAACTTCTCTCTCTGTATTACGATCTCTCTGCTTGAGATTTGAAGCTGATGTTCTTAGTTGGGTGCTCGTTTATACATCTATACGAGTCGTCGCCGGTCAATTGAGGGCATATGAAGTCACGTCTCCGACTGCCATCGTCTTCTACACCTCCATCTCTTTGCTTCCTTCCTTGTCCAAAGATTATATCGAGCTTGGAAAATTTGTTCTCCTTGCTTCCTTCCTTGGAGATTGACGAGGATGGAATACTCAATGCGACGTCAAGGGAGAAGATCCCAGGATCAAAATCTAAGTCCCTAACCATCACCAGCTACAAAGGAAATTTGACGCAGAATTAGATTAAGAGGATGATCAAAGAAGCAAATGAGATGGCAGAGCAAGACAAGATAGCCAGGGCATGTGTGGATGCCAGGATTGAGTTTGAGAATTACATCTCAGTGGTGATGGGCTGCAGCAGTTGGGTGATAAGAGGGGAAATGTGGAGATATCTGTTCCGTGAGAGTAGCTTCAGGTTGGTTGGATGAGAACCAAGGCGCTACCAGAGAAGTTTACCAGAAGAAGCTGAACGAGCTGGTAAGGACGGTGGAGCCTTGGCTGGATTTGCAACATCTTTGTGTAGAGGTGCATCTGAGCTATGTGGTTGTGTTTCAAAGCTGTGTAAATGCTCATATGAGATATTCTCCTTATCATCATCACCAATGTTAGTGTTATTACCATCCTCAGAATCACTATCGATGGTGTCGACATTGTCCTCCATATCGTCACCATTTCTAACACTACCAGTATCATCTCCATAATCCATTCCCCAATCTAAACCAACATTCAACTCAATTCCCGTGTCCTTGCCTGTTCTCATATCATCCATCAACCCTTCCATAGTTGGTCAACTGAAAACAACCAACAAAATGAAGTTTAGAGAATATTAAAATCCACATATTCACCACCCACAACCCACCGAATCCAAGAGTACACTAATCAATTAACAAGCAACGAAAAGATTTCAGGCAAGATTAGAGGCATATGCATATAAGCCGCATAGGTTCCTAGTTCATTTACCAAGAGATGAGGTAAAAATCAATGAAACTAGTATTACATCATTCATGGTGACAGACACAGAAACCAAAAGCAAAAGAATCAAATTGACTACAAACCTCGAGGAGGACGCAAAAAAAAAAAAACTATTAAAGAAGACAACAAACTCGATAGGAAGGGTAATACAACTTGACTTTCATTTGGGGTCACAGGAGCAGAACACTTGCTAATTGAATGCACAAGTTACCTCTAAGTAAGCACATTGATCAATGGCAACAACTTACAACCAAGAATCACTTAGAGTAAAAACCGTATATTAGAAGGTAGAACATAATAATATGATGTCCACAATGTTATTTTGATCCTCCGGTTGACGAGGGTGCTTTCAACAACTTACCACATTCGCCTGGCATCCATTGTTTTCCTGGTTTGCTGCTGCTTGCCTTGTTTCAGCTGGTTGATTCCTTCTGTTTGAGCACCAGCAGTTTAGTCTGATGAGTCTGCGGTCTGTTACAAATACAATACGTGAAGGTCATGAAGTCTTCTAGGCAGTCAACTTGACCAGCGAGCGAAGGAATCTCTATCAGATAATGCCCTACCTTGGGGATTTGGTATGCTTCAGTAAAATCACATAGGTTGTCAACCTTGAAGGATCTTCTATTCCTAATTCTTGGCAAAAAAGCTGCACCAATTGATCAAGAAACGAAACGATCAATCAAGACTATGTAAGCAAAGCTCAAATGTAACCCCTAATTCTTCTCACAATAAAGCATAGTATAGCATTTGACTGGTTGTCCCATTTTTGCTAGCCAGAGTTAATGGAAACGAAGACTAAGAGAAGAGGGCAAGCAAGCTGAATCAAGGTAGATAAAAACCCCAAATGAAACCCAGTAGGAGGAAGAGAAGGGTACCAACCTGGATTCAGGATTTGAACCAGCGACTTAGTAGGAGAAGGCCGATACGAGGAATTGACTGGCGGAGGCTGGGAAACAAAGTTGGGTGCGATGACCGCCGATGCCAGAGAGGGAATCAATGAAGGATGACAATTAAGAACCGAGGCTGGGAAACAAAGTCGGTCGAGTGACCTGCAGAGACGGGGAAACAAGAATTGACCACCTACAACAGATGAGAGAGAACCGAGGATAGAGGGAGGGAAGGTGGAAGGAATAAGCCGACAGGGAGGAACCGAGGATCAGTCCTCTAACGCCGACGAAGGACGAGAAGGAAGAAACGACAGCACTGTTACGACTTATGATGGTGAGGGTTTAGGATATAGGAATTTCTTCATTATCTTGGTTAAAAATTAAACCGACTAAAAAAAATCGGTTTACAATTGGATGGGTTAAACCCAAAACCATATTCAAACGCTTAGTCAACCATATATTGTAAATCAATCTCACATCGGTTTACAATTAGATAGGTTAAACCCAAAACCATAGTCAAACGCTCAGTCAACCATATATCGTAAATCAATCTCACATCGGTTTACAATTATATGGGTTATACCCAAAACCATAATCAAACGCTCACTCAACCATATACCCTAAACCATTCCACATCGTTTCACAATTACATGGGTTCAACCCAAAACCATAATCAAACACTCACTCAACCATATACCCTCAACCAATCTCACATCGGTTTACAATTACATGGGTTATACCCAAAACCATAATCAAACGCTCACTCAACCATATACCCTAAACCAATCTCACATCGGTTTACAATTACATGGATTGAACCCAAAACCATAATCAAACACTCACTCAACCGTAATACCCTCAACCAATCTCACATTGGTTAACAAGTAGATGGGTTAAAACCAAACCCGTAATCAAACGTTCAATCAACCATATACCGTAAACCCAATCCCACTTCGGTTCACAATTACATGGGTTCAACCCAAAACCATAATCAAACACTCACTCAACCATATCCCTCAACCAATCTCACGTCGGTTTACAATTACATGGGTTCAACCCAAAACCATAATCAAATGCTCACTCAACCAAATACCCTAAACCAATCTCACATCAGTTTACAATTACATGGGTTGAACCCATAACCATAATCAAATGCTCAATCAACCATATACAGTACCCATGTCGGTTCACAATTATATGGGTTCAACCCAAAACCATAATCAAATGCTCACTCAACCATATATCCTAAACCAATCTCACATTGGTTTACAACTACATGGGTTGAACCCAAAACCATAATCAAACGCTCAAACAACCATATATCGTAAACCCAATCCCACGTCGGTTCGCACTTACATGCGTTCAACCCAAACCTGTAAACAAACGCTCACTAAACCATATACCGTAAACACAATCTCACATCGGTTAACAAGTAGATGGGTTTCAACCCAAACCCGTAATCAAACGACCATATGGTAAATTAGTAATAGGTTTTCAACTGCAAACGGACTATGAAATTAGCAAAACATGTTAGGTAGTCTGACTAGTTAATGTGTTGAATTATTATGCCAAGGGCGCGTGTTCGATCCTTGAAAATGGGGGTTTTCATTGACTAACACACGCCCAAAATCTCACAGGTGTGAGATACACCTTTCAAGACTGGGAGGTTTCCTGGACTCTAGGGGATGATTTTTTCATTCTCACGGTACCATCTAACGGGCGTGAAATCCCCATCCTTAACGTGTGAGAAAATCCCAATCTCATGGCTCAGTCTCACAGGCACGAGATTACCTTGTTGAGGCTGTGAAAATGCTACTGGCAGGGTGAATAATGTCTTGTTTCACGGTTACTCTCACAGTCGTGAGGTTTCTAGAATCGAACCGTGAAAATGACAAGGTTCAATTTTCAACCATTTTTCGTTATACGATCATTCATAACTTCTTCCTTGTCGACACATTAAACATAATATAGAGAAAAGAGAACATCACCGAATAATGCTTCATTCATAATTTCATTGTAATTTCGACATTTTCCTAAACTTCATTCAACATCGCCATTTTCCTAAACTTCATCCAACATCCACATTAACTGCTTCACTGTCGACACATGAAACAAAAGAAGCACAACTCTCAATACTTCGTAGACTTTCTACCCCCTTTTCTCCCCATGCGCATGTAACGGCTTTCTTCCTTGATTGAGTAAGTTTGTCTTGAAATTCACCTTCTCAATCTCAATTTGGCCAGGTCTCGCATGACTCTCAAAATATTCATCTGATTGTGCCTTAACTGTAGCTTGAACCTCATTCAAACGCGTAGTGAGCAAGTATATAGTAAGTTGTGCCCTTTCATAGTCACTGTCAAACTGGTCAAGCTTCTTGGAATATCGATCTGGATCCAGCAAGTAATTGGCGACAAATAGTCCAAAATCAAATCTGTAATATAGCAAATAATTACCATGGTCATAATGCGAACAAATAATTACCGAACTTAATTAGAATAGTGCACAATTAAACAACAACAAAGGATACCCATTTGGTTGGTAAGCAATATCCTGGCGATATCTAACCACAAAGTCCACAAATGAAAACGCTCCGCAGATATCCTCCTTAAGCAACAAGTCTAGACCCAATTTCTGCAAATGAAAACATCCCCCTCATCGATATTTAACGACAAAGTCGGCAAATGAAAAACAACTAACAACTAAGCAATAAGTCAAGTTTGAAAACTTGAAGAACAAGACAAGAAGCAAACCAGTTTCTGCATCCTTGCATCATATTCTTCATTATGAGTTCCTGGTATTGAGTCCCAGATTTCAATTTCTTTGGTTTCCAAGTTAAAGACCGCCAGATAGAAGTGGATCAACGTGAAGTTGAAAATTGGGACATGAATATGAAATAATGCACAAAAAAAAAACAATAATTATCAATTTATCATAGGAGGGTTAAGCCATTTCCTTTTGGAAAACAACGTTACAACAGACCTTACTGCAGTAAAGTAGCTCATTTATACGTCATCGCTCCATTATCTTATA